AAATAAATATTACTGCTTGTTAAATTAACCTAATCTTCATATATTAGCTGCAATCATGAACATATATATTTAATAATGGTCTAATTATATTATGAAATAAACAAATTTTTAAATTTTAATATAGCCCCACTCCTTTGAACATTGTACCGTACACTTGTACTTCGACCTCAGTCTAGTTCTTTGTTCTGTACGACGCACTTCGCTATAATTGTTATAGCTCTTTGATATACCAGGAGTTAAACTGCATTTACTAATGAATAGTGATTGTTAAACTATTTAAGAAAGTAATGGAAACTTTTATGCTGCAATTCAGAAATAAGGTATTGTTCAAATTATAAAATAAATATTACTGCTTGCTAAATTAACCGATTCTTAATTTATATAGTATAAGCATGGACATAAATATTCAATAATTGTCCAATTATGTTAAAAAATAACTAAATTTCTTTATTTTCTATATACGTACTACTTTGAACAATGTACTCAACACTTGTACTTCTCTCTCAGTCTGTTATAATTGTTATAGCTCTTTGATAAATCAAAAGTTCAACTGCATCTACAAATGAATAGTGACTTTTAAACTTTTTAACAAAGTAATGACAATTTACGCTGCGATTTTGAAAAAAGGTACTGCTCAAATCATACAATCAATATTATTGTTTGTTAAATTAATCAAATCTTGATATATTAGCTAGAATCATGACATGAACATACGTTTTTAATAATGGTCCAATAATTTTAGGAAATAAACAAATTTTTAAAATTTAATATAGCCCCACTACTTTGAACATTGTACCCTACACTTGTACTTCGACCTCAGTCTAGTTCTTTGTTCTGTACGACGCACTTCGCTATAATTGTTATAACTCTTTGATATACCAGGAGTTAAACTGCATCTATTAATGAATAGTGATTGTTAAACTATTTAGAAAGTAATGGAAAGCTTTTATACTGCAATTCAGAAATAAGGTATTGTTCAAATTATAAAATAAATATTACTGCTTGCTAAATTAACCGATTCTTAATTTTTATAGTATAAGCATGGACATAAATATTCAATAATTGTCCAACTATGTTAAAAAATAACTAAATTTCTTTATTTTCTATATACGTACTAATTTGAACAATGTACCCAACACTTGTACTTCTCCCTCAGTCTGTTATAATTGTTATAGCTCTTTGATAAATCAAAAGTTCAACTGTATCTACAAATGAATAGTGAATTTTAAACTATTTAAGAAAATAATGAAAATTTACGCAGCAATTTTGGAAAAATGTAGTGCTCAAATTATAAAATAAATATTACTGCTTGTTAAATTAACCTAATCTTCATATATTAGCTGCAATCATGAACCATACCATATATATTTAATAATGGTCTAATTATATTATGAAATAAACAGATTTTTAAATTTTAATATAGCCCCACTCCTTTGAACATTGTACCCTACACTTGTACTTCGACCTCAGTCTAGTTCTTTGTTCTGTACGACGCACTTCGCTATAATTGTTATAGCTCTTTGATATACCAGGAGTTAAACTGCATTTACTAATCAATAGTGATTGTTAAACTATTTAAGAAAGTAATGGAAACTTTTATACTGCAATTCAGAAATAAGGTATTGTTCAAATTATAAAATAAATATTTCTGCTTGCTAAATTAACCGATTCTTAATTTATATACTATAAGCATGGACATAAATATTCAATAATTGTCCAATTATGTTAAAAAATAACTAAATTTCTTTATTTTCTATATAGGCACTGTAACAATGTACCCAACACTTGTACTTCTCTCTCAGTCTGTTATAATTGTTATAGCTCTTTGATAAATCAAAAGTTCAACTGTATCTATAAATGAATAGTGAATTTTAAACTATTTAAGAAAATAATGAAAATTTACGCAGCAATTTTGGATAAATGTACTGCTCAAATTATAAAATAAATATTACTGCTTGTTAAATTAACCTAATCTTCATATATTAGCTGCAATCATGAACATATATATTTAATAATGGTCTAATTATATTATGAAATAAACAAATTTTTAAATTTTAATATAGCCCCACTCCTTTGAACATTGTACCCTAGACCTTGTACTTCGACCTCAGTCTAGTCTTTGTTCTGTACGACGCACTTCGCTATAATTGTTATAACTCTTTGATATACCAGGAGTTAAACTGCATTTACTAATGAATAGTGATTGTTAAACTATTTAAGAAAGTAATGGAAACTTTTATACTGCAATTCAGAAATAAGGTATTGTTCAAATTATAAAATAAATATTTCTGCTTGCTAAATTAACCGATTCTTAATTTATATACTATAAGCATGGACATAAATATTCAATAATTGTCCAATTATGTTAAAAAATAACTAAATTTCTTTATTTTCTATATAGGCACTGTAACAATGTACCCAACACTTGTACTTCTATCTCAGTCTGTTATAATTGTTATAGCTCTTTGATAAATCAAAAGTTCAACTGCATCTATAAATGAATAGTGAATTTTTAACTATTTAGGAAAGTAATGAAAATTTACGGTTCAATTTTGGAAAAATATACTGCTCAAATTATAAAATAAATATTACTGGTTGTTAAATTAACCTAATCTTCATATATTAGCTACAATCATGAACCATATTATTTAATAATGGTCAGATTATGTTAGGAAATAAAAAAATTTTAAATTTTAATATAGCCCCACTCCTTTGAACATTGTACCCTACACGTGTACTTCGACCTCAGTCTAGTTCTTTGTTCTGTAACGACGAACTTCATTGTTACAGCTCTTTGATAAATTGAATATATAGCTGCATCTATTGAAGAATATTGATTTTAATTTTTTTAGAATGTAATGGAAAGGTTTCTCTACTATTTAGAAATGAGGTATAGTTAAAATTGTAAAATAAATGTTATTGCTGGTTAAATTAACCAATTAATTTATGTACGTACAAGTACGTATATGCATATTTAGTCATTTTACGTTGCCTTGAAGAAATAAATATATTTCTTTAGTTTATTATGACCCAACTGCTTCGATACTTCAAACTTACAATTAGTCTTGCCCTATATTATATCTTGCCATAATAACAATTTGTGAACATTTAATTCATTATTATTCTTAAACTATCTCATTAATAATAAAACGTTTTCAATCTGTATAAAACAAGGTACTTAAATTTAAAAGGTAGTAATGTAGTTTAAATTGATATGTTTATACAAGCGTGTATAACAAATATTTAAATATTTCAATTGATCTTTAAAAAATAAGTAAGTTAAATTATGTTCTGTAAAAATATTTGAATTGTGATTTCCTTGTGGCTAGTTAACTTAGAACATTATTGTCTCCTTCTATTCCCAGCTGTTACAAATATGGACATGGGCAATGTTGTTTAGATATTGCTTAAATAGGCCCATCTAAAACATATCTTGTATAAACATATTTTCACAAAATAATGGTTAATTTCAAATAAAAAAAAATATTTGAAGTCGATTAAATAATTAATTGTTTTATTATTTTTTTCTGTTCCTAGGAATCACTGGAAACCAATTATACGGCCAAATCTAAGAAGCAAGAAGCCTGCAGGAACTCTTTACCACTGAGGGTGGAGTATTCTGTAGAAGAGCTGCGAAGGATTCTTCGACTCACTGGATGGCCGAAGATTCTTCTCGGTGGACTGAACGATTCGCTCTCTGGAGGACCTGGCAGGCCATCTCCTGAAGTTCAGCTCATTCCCTCGTGAGTGGTCTGCAGTCCTCGATCTCGCAGGATGGTCGAAAGGGTTCGGATCCAGCTCTTCGGTGTTCGGCTCATCTCGGAGCGGGTCCACGGTCATCGGCGTTCTTCAAGTCCTCAACTTCCTCCGGACCCTTCGGTCCGCCATTCTTCTCCTTTTCCCGGATCTTCTTGTCTCCTTGCTGAGTCTATCTCTTGAGGTTACTTTTACTCGACCAGATGTCGTGCTGTAGCAGGAGAATCAAAGGAAGAAGAGATCGAAATACTCCGCGATCCGTCGTGTTTGGGGGTTCGAATCGTACCATCAAAGCGATGTGGCTACTGAACAGTTCTCGTGTCACAGTTGTACACGAAGGAGACCATCGCTCAACTAGTGGTAGTTGAAACTAATAATTGTACTGTGGTGGTTGGAATTGTGATTATCTTATTTTAGGGATACATAATTTCCCTAGCCGTTGTTTAGGCATTCCCTTCTAGGTCTTTTGTGACCATTTATCCCTTAGCAACCTAAGGCTTTTATATTAGCCTCACAACAATCCCCGCAACCACCACTACTTAAATTTCACTGGAGTTATATCTACATCTGCTTGGATTTCAATGATATCATCTATTGTAACAATTGCAGATCTGTCTTTAAAAAATAACTGTGGAAAACTTCATAAATAAAGAAATGTTTTATTTCTTTGCAGCCCAATCCTTTGAGAGCTTTTTAATGCTCTATTCCCAGCCCAACATTGGCTTTTATTAGTCATGGTTGAAAGTCTTATTTTTCAGGCGCTAAAGGAAATCAAACCAAGCTAGATATAGTGAGAGGTATTAAATTTAAGGGATAGTTTGGTTTGATGTTTTACTAATACCTGAGAATGAGCTTTTTTCCAAATACACTAATAGCTAAAAAGCCAATGACCTAAGAACTATCTTGTAATTATTTCTTTCAGATAGTTACCTGTTCAGTAGGTTTAGTTTAGTCTCGATTATGAGTAATGTAAATTCATATAACTTCTTCATTATTTCTGCCTGTAGTTTCTAACCGGGCATAAAATTTTATCATGTAATGGTTGTATTATCACCGCGATAATTAACGAACTAGAAAAAATATTTTTTAAGCGCTATGTTATCATAATTCATTTAATCAACGAAATTGTAACGTTTCGTATTTTAAATTCTATTTTTAAAAAAATTCTTACTAAAATTCGGTTTAATTTTTCACTTTAGTTTTGACTTCCGTTAATTGAGCGATGTTCTTCTTCATGAACAACAATGACACGAAAATCGCTCAGTCGGTTACATCACTCCGATGATGCGATTCGAATCCCCTACCTGGCGAATCGTAGAATACTTCGATCTCTCCTTCCTTCGACTCTTCTGTTACAACACAATGTCTTTTCGAGTTTAAGTGGCTTCGTGAGAAAGGGTCGGTTTGGGGAGAAGAAAGTCCGAGAAAAGGAGAAAAATGGCAGGTTGAAGTGTTCCGGTTGGAGGTTGAGGACTTGAAAGACATCGATGACTATGGACTCCTTCCATGTATGGGTCTAATACCGAAGAGTCAGATTCGGGTCCTTTCAATCATCCTGCAAGAGCGAGGGCCGCTCTCTGCTCGCGAGGGATGAGATGGGTTTTAGAGGATGGCTTGCTCGGTCCTCAAGAGGGGAGATCGCTTTATTGGCCGGGAAGAGTTTTTTGTCGTCGAGTGACTTTTTGTCTTAGAATCTTCTCGAGTTACCTCCGCAGAATATCACCCTTTGTGGTCCAGAGATACAAGATTTATGTCTTAAGACTTTGGGTAGATTGAAAGAATGAAGAAGATATCAGAGAAGAAGAATGAATGAAATGTCAAATTAAGAAAGTAGCCATCATCGAGGATGCAGCGAGGATAAGGTAGGTTGTTTAAATTATACTGAATTGTATTCTATAATAGATGATTGCACCATTTTGAAATCATGTTTTAATATGTTTCAGTAAACTTCTAATGGACTCATCTACTTATGGATTTGTACAAACGTTCTTGGTCTCTTTGAATATTAACTTCATTATTGAAGCTATATTTTCATTATTTTTTTTCAGACCTTCATATGAAGTGATAAGCTAAAAAATTCCAAAAGCAAAAAGTCAAGGTGTGAAGGCTGGTTGGCACAGGAGTCAGTGATGGTCACTTGTGTTAAGTTTTTCCCGCTTTAACATTCTCGAGTCTAGCGAAGTAGATTTTAATCCGGCCTGGGTGGGTTGAAATTTATTTCATGGTGTACCCACGGAATAAATTTTGACTTTTCCTCTTGGGTCAGAATAGGTTTAGGTTTTCTTCTAGAACAACTCCCTACTTTTCCTTATGCTAGAAATTGTAAACAAAAAAAAAAAATGGTTGGGACAGTTAAACAAAATACAAAACTGTCATAAAAGACTGAAAAACTGTAAAAAAAAAAAAAAAAATGAAAATAAGGTTTCTGTATTGGAAAACATTATATAGGAACATCAATCAATGTTATAAAAATAAAACAAATTTAACATTTGAATTTTTTTTTTCTCTATTATATCTCTAAATTTTTCTCTGTCTTCATATTTTCTATAAAACATTAATATTTACATTGGTTTAATGTGTATAAATGTAATTTATAAGGTCGTTAAATATAATGTTATTTAATGTATAATGTCGACGTACCAGTCCCAAAGCAGATATAAGTTGGAAATGGCTGCTATAAGGAGATTTATATTAAAATAATAAAAATGCGACTAAAAATGGATGGATTGCTTGATTTTCGAATTTCATAGATGAAAACATTCACTTCTTTAAAAAAATCAAACTTCTGTAAATCTATTTCGCACTTCGTAATAGAGGACATCGCTCAACCTATATGATGTCCTGCAGAGACAAGCTGGGACTGAAACTGTTGGTGATGAGAATAAAAAGCAGTTGCCAACCTAACCACTAAGTAAACCAACTCCGCTTTTCACCTTCTACGTCCTCAATGCAACTACATATCAAAGCAATAATGATCCTGGCTGTTAATGTAAAACAGGCACCACTCATGTCAAAAATATTTTTGAAGATATTGCTTTACGTGTTTTTCAGTAATTCTAATGGAAACTAAAACAAAAAAAGTGAGTTTAATAATATCGGCCGAAGCTGTTCAACACATCGTTGGAATCAGCAATTATTTGAACATTAAAAAATTTTTTAATATAATTTTGTACATCCTTTATTTTTCATTAAATAATTGACGTTTTCCTAATCTAACATATCGCCTTTCAGTTCAAATAAAAAGTTAATTCATTTTTTTTTTTAACTCAAATGGAATGTTTGTATGTTAAACTGTTTGCAAATTTTCCCTTAATATATTTGAATTGTTTAATATGAATTATTTACAAACGAAATATTGATTAATGTATTAAGTAAAAATTATCCAATAATTTAAACTTACAATCATTTCAATCGAAGTCTACCCGAATATATATTTTTTTCAATTTCATGAAGTAATGACGACCCTTAAATTCCTACAAGAAGTTTAATAAAAGTCATTGTAAAAATAAACGAGTTTCAAGATTCCTACGATAGGTCGATGGAAAATAATGAGACAAACTGCGTTTTAAATATTTCGACGTTTTTAAGCCCGAAAATGTACGATTTTCGAGATGAACCGTAATTCACGTCGATAGCCTTCTAGGTGACAGTTATTATAGAATATTATTCTATTTAGGTTTATAAAAATTAAAATGAAGGTCAATTACAACACGCAATTTCTATCCTTATTTTGTATACACTTATACACATACACGTCATACCATTTCCAAAAATTTTATTGTAAAAATTACAATATAAACATCATATACGTCCATTTCAGCTTTTTTCTTGTTCTGCCCAAAGGCACTTGCTACCTTAAAATACCTACATGGAAAATGCTGAAACGTATGTTTATTTATATATTATAATTCTAAAATAAAATCGTTGGACGGTGAGAGGAAAAAAACGACCTACCAGAAAGTCGTAATATACTGGCAACTACATTGCAATCGTAACGAGACACTAAGACCCTAAATAGGCCTCACTGCACCACAAGATTGGTGCATTTTGTGAAAAGTACTATGATAAGTGCCAACACATCTCGTCTAACAAGAACATGACTGTTAATGTAAAAATTTACTAAATATTGGTTAGCTTGTCCCACTGTAAAATATCCCTTTAGTTTAACAGTTAAACAAGAACACAGAGGTATCCGTGCACTTGCACTCATCCATTATCGTACTCTCTCATGACCTCTTTGATTGATCCTGGAGAGCCTTGCCATTCAAGTTGTCTCCCTAAGAGTATAGAAATCTATTAATAGAGATACAGAAGCATACTAGATATCTTTCTATTTATTAGAAATATCACAAGGTTTCATTCTATATAATCCGCCATTCCATAAGGGATCAAAGAGAAATTTTACTTTTCCCCAATTTACTTTTCAATATATATTTTTAATTTATTGATAACTACCACAAATAGCAATATTTTAATTTTTAAAACCTAAAACCAGAACTATGAGATTTGGCAGAAAACAAGGAAGAGGAGACAAAATATTGCACTTGAGTGGAGTTCCATTGGAACAAGTGAAAAATTTTAAATAGCTCGGTGCCCATATCAATGAACATGGATGGATCGACTTAGAAATAAAGGAAAGAGTGAAGGCTGCAGGAAGGTGCTTCAACGCTATCAAGAAAGGATTCTTGAACAAGAGAGAAGTGAGTAAAGAGATCAAAACGACCGTGTACAAAAATACTTTCCTCCCGATAATGACCTACTCCATCGAGTCATGGACCCTCGCCACAAAATACATCAGTCTGATTCAGGCCATGGAGATGCGATTCACCCTGCGCAGGGTCGAAGGAAAAACAAAGAGAGATCGCATAAGAAACTCCATAATACGGAAAAATCTAAACGTACGATCAGCTGAAACTGTGATGGAGGAAACTCGTTTGAGATGGTTTGGTCATGTCTCTCGAATGGCCAGGATAGCGTTGGAAAGTAAAGTGGAGGGAAGAAGATTTCAGGGAAGGCCCAGGAAGACCTAGGAGGTCAGTGTCAAGGAGGCCTTTGACAGAAGAGATGATGACTGGAGGAGGGAGGAGGGAGGAAGGAGGAGGGAGGAGGGAGGAGAGAGGAGGGAGGAGGGAGGAGGGAGGAGGGAGGAGGGAGGAGGGAGGAGTTGGGAGTTGGCTCAGGATTAAGAGTTGTGGATTCGGCTTTACAAGTAGCCTCCTCACACTGCTAAAAGGTAGAAGAGCAAACGATTAAGAAGAAGATTAAACCTAAACGTGTGATAATTATTCCAAGGCAATCATAGCACTTAAGAGGCTTATGGCAAGATTACGATTTATCTCGAAAACTGAACATATAAAGGTCTTTAAAACAAAAAGGCTGAAAATTCCTTCACAGAGATAATGATATAAATATCCCTTTATATAAATAATGAATGAACCACCAACTGCTTCTGATTAAAAATATAACAATAGAATTTTTTGTGGAAGAAAAAGAAAACCGAAGACTTTTTCTATCTTAAAAGAGAATATCCCATTTTCCTATTATAGGAGGGAAGGTATACTGGTTTTCCCCGGAACTCGATCTAAATATGTAAACTATTATTACAGTTTTTCTTATTATACCAGTTTTCTCGTAAGTCGACTCCAATATGCTTAAAAGCTAGCCCAGGGATTATAGCCAACAGTTTCATTCCTAATTGATTTTATGATGCCAATGGAATGGTAATTATAAAAGTATGCCTGTATATAAAATATTTTCAATTTAAAAAAAAAACATTATGGGTATGCTGAAAATCTAGCAATGGAATTAAAAAATACGGCCTAACCTTACTTCAAACACTTTTAAATTTTCAAATCATTATTATAATGGCGGTAATAGTGATACAAAATAAATTATAGCTAGTTTATTTTGTTTGCGGTTTGTTTAAAATGAATTAGCTCTATTTAAACATTAACAGGATAGAACTTTGCCAAAGTATACACTTTGGTATTGTTATATACTGTAATAATATAATATGATATTATATAGTAAAATAATATAATAAATAATGTAGTTTATATTCATAAATACCATTTAATAATGTAATAATAACAAAAAATATACTGTGTAATTGTTATATTTAAAAATATTTTTCATTTCAGGTTCAAGAAATAAATACCCAAAACTACAGCGATCTTCGGGAAGTATCATCTTCGCAGGTCATCCGATTCCACGCAGTCTCCGAGATCTTCGGCGTCATGGCGGCTGCGAGGTAGGAATTAGTTATAATTAAACATTAAATTACATTGTAATATTGGAGGTTCCTAACAAATAAATCTGACAAATCTGACAAATGAAACAGCATAACTAAGGTTGAATATGGTATACTCACATTTACTATTTGAGATAGTTCGCGCTAAAATATTAATCACTAAATATTTGTTATCTTATATTAATGTCAATTATAAAAGTCGGGATAAAAAGTTATTTATACTTTTTG